GCAGCAAACTTGCGGTAAATACCAAAACGTCCGTTTAGTGGCAAGTTTGCAGAGCAAATTTGCAGAAAATTTGCATGGCAAAGTAAATGTTAAATGCATGCGCAGTAGTTTTCTATGACATCTAGAGCTGCGCACTACATTTATGTCACCTTCCCTGCTAGGGAAGGCAACGTTTATCAAAATACTTACATTTTGAATACAAAAAGATTTTTTTTGAAATTTTTAGGTTTTTTGAAAGTTTGCTGCAAATTTTCCTCAAGTTTACTACAAAATTATCTGCAAGTTTGACACGCAAGTTTTCTGCAAATTTGCTCTGCAAACTTGCCACCAAACGGACATTTTGGTATTTACCGCAAGTTTGCTGCAAATTTGCCAGGCAAGTTTTCAAATTTGGCTTTGAAAACTTGCCGCAAATTTGCAGAAAATTATTGTGCTATGTGGGTATATAAATAAAACTTTACCGTGCAACTAACCTTAAAATCTGTGCGGTAGGGATCGTTGGCGGCGCGAGAATTTTTCTTAAAACTATTGTATTTCTGTAAATATAAAACTAATCTTTCTGAAATTTTACAGAAACTTCTTTACTTCTTAATAAACAAATGTCTCACTGGAAGTTGTTTGAATTTTAAAGTTCCCCGCATACTTTTTGCAGCCAAAGATAAGAAAAAATTATTTTTGACCGGTCAGTATTAACAATTAAAAATCAATAAACAATTAATTGCTTTTAACATTTTCGTGATATTGTCGTCTTCTATAGGTCCAAATGCATTTGTATACCAAAAATCAAAAGAATTCATTTATTATTGTCGGAGATACGACGATTTATATTTTAAAATTCAATGAAATTTGACAATGAAAATTAATCACATTTTTTCCATTACCATATAAAAATATTAATTATTCAAAGAAATTTCAAAGGAAAAAAAGATGCGCATTTCTATTTCCTATGAAATGGCAGTTTTTAAAATTCAAAATTTTGAATTTTCATTTTTTAGACTTTACGGTACCTTTGACTGACTTTAAAGCGGCTCGCCGAGCGTACGTCCCCTTGTTGTATCCAAGCACTCAATTCTTTTCAAAAATTTTAATAAAATTCTTTACGAGACAAATGGAAAATGAAAATTTTAAATAATATTTAAATTATCGTTTGATGCAATGAGTATGAAAAAAATTTTCGTTTGATAGTGAAAGTACTTAGAATTTATTTTTTACAGTAATTTATTAATTGAAGATCCAATAATGATTCATTAGGAACTTTTTTGTATTTCTTTTTGTATCTTAATAGTTTTTTTGTTTTTCTCACTTTTTAACTTTTTAAGACTCTTTTTTGCTTAATGTTTTTCTTGATATTTTTTATTCATAATTATTTTTTATAATTTAAAAAACCAGAAAATATTTTGAAATCAAACAATTTTAACACAAAGGAAAAGTAAAAACTATACACAGAAAAAAATGCGAATGGTAAAAACAACCACATTTGTGTAGTTAGAAAAAAAGTAGTTAAAACTACCATATTCAGCAGCATTTTAACTACACTTCCTCAGTTAGTGGAACCAAAAAGAAGTAGCTGGTTTTATGTAGTTAAAATAACTACTTTACTTAGTTGAAATAACTAACAGATGCTTGTAAATGGCTCAACTATAGTGTAGTAGTAAAAACTATTATTAAAAATAGTTAATTTTACTATTGTGGTAGCAAAAATAACTATTTTGTATTAGTTGCAAACAAAATGAGACTTACTGTTTTTATATAGTAAATACAACCTCTGAAAGTTGTTACTTTTATGATTTATGTAGTTAAAACAACTATTTCTTACTATAGTTGCAGAGAAAGAAAGAAATTTACTGTTTTCATATAGTAAAATCAATTATTGAAAATAGTTATTTTTACTATTTATGCAGTTGAAAAGATCATTTTTTTCTACAGAGAAAAAACGTGAGTGGTAAAAGCATCCACATATGTGCAGTTAAAAAAATATAGTTAAAACTACCATATTCAGCAGCATTTTAACTAAACTTCCATAGTTAGTGGAACTAAAATTGAATAGTAGGTTTTATGTATAGTTAAAATTACTACTACACGTTATGATTGTGAATAACTCAACAATAGTGCAGTAGTTAAAAGTACTGTTAAAAATAGTTATTTTCGGAATTTCTGTAGTAGAAATATCCATTTCTTGCTATTTGCAAAATAAATTAAAATTTACTGTTGCAAAGAGTAAAAACAACCGCTGGAATTTGTTATTTTTGTGTTTAATGTAGTTAAAAGAACCAATTCTTACTAGCTTTTAATAATTTATCTCTATGGTGGTAAGAAACATTTATTTTTATAACTACAAAAGTCATAAAAGTAACAATTTTTATGTTATTTTTACTATATGAAAATAGTAAGTTTAATTTTTTTATAACTAGTAAAAAGTGGATAATTTTACTACAAAAATTCTGAAAATAACTATTTTCAACAGTACTTTTAAGTACTGCACTATCGTTGAGTCATTTAAAATCATATGCTGGCTACGTTTCAACTAAGTCCTTGAGCTTAAAAAATTAGTTACTGCAACTAAACGGAGTAGTTATTATGACTGAATCTAAGAAGAACGTCCTCAAGTACAATGCGAGTCATCGTAGCGTGCGAGCGTGGTTAGGTGGTTAGGTTATCGGTTTGCGAATGTTAGGGTCGTGCGTTCAATCCCCGGCGTTTGGGGATTTTTCTCTGTTAGGTGTATAAGAATTTAATATATAAATTATATATGAACAAAAATAGGTAAGAGAAAATATAAAAAAATGGACCTCAATAATAATAAAAAACAAATAAATAATTTCATTTTACTACTTTAAATAGTTAATTTAACTATTTTTTACAGTTGTTACAACTACAATTTGTTACGGGCGCCTATAGGAACTATGAAAATTTAGTTACTGCAACTAAATGAAGCAGTTAGTATGACTAACAACAAATAGTTAAGATAACTGTTTTAGTAGTTAAATTTACTGTAAAAATGGTATTTATTACTACATTTTACAGTTAGACTAACTATTCTGTCATAGTTCATTTTACTAAATAATGTTACGGGCGCCTATAGGAACTACAGGAAATAGTAAAAAAGTAGTCAAATTTACCATATTTTTTTTGTGTGTACAATGAAAAGTAAAATTAATTTCTGTTTCTATACAAAATGTTATGGAATTTCCTAATTCTAATCTTTCTTGGGAAGAAATTGAATATTTTTAATGACTGTTTTTAATTATTAATAATTATAATTATTATTAATTATTAATATATTTTATTATTATTTTATTATTATTTTTATTATTATATTTTTATTTATTATTTTTTTTATTTACTTTTTATTACACAGGAAAAAAAAGTCTGACTCCGTTTACACCTTAAATTCAGCCTCAAAAAGAGGCTGAAAGTAAAACTTTTTTTTAGTGTGTATATTTTTTATTTTATTTATTTTATTTTTTTATTAATTTTTATTTATTATTTATTTATTATTATTATTTAGTATTATTTTATTATTTATTATTAATTATTATTATTATTATAATTATTATTATTTTAATTATCTAATTTATGAAAAGAATTTGGTAATAATAATTTATAAGAACAATGTCTGATAATAATTTATAACAATTTATAATAATAATTTACAATAATAAATTAAATAGGTAATAATAATAAATAAAAAACAAAATTTGTTCTAATCGATAAATCAGGCGAAAATATTATTATTATCATAATTGGCTAGACAATTCGCACATTATAATTTGATTCTTACAATAATGTAAACAGGAAGTTAAAAGATTGAAGACACTGTAATTAGAGCTCAACTCCTCACTCTAATTCCTATCGCGTGAGAATCAATTCTTTTTGTCTATTGTCAGCTTCCTTCTTGGTTACTAATTATTTAAATGTAAACACCAATTAATGGGATCAATTTTAACACATACAAGCACTAAATACAATGATTTCTTTAATTATCGATACAATAAACAAACATTAAAAGATCAAGACTTTATAAAGATTGTAAGAAAATGCTGCGGATTTTTCGAAAAAAAAATTCGATAACAATTATTTCATTTGATATTTTCATTTTCATTTATTTTCATTTGATAATATTTTAAAATTTATTTTAGAGAAAATTTGCTGTCAATGAAGAATTTTAATTGTCTGCTAATTAACATTAATCAATCTTCTTTGGTTATAAATAGCTGTTTGCATATACTTTCCAAGAATCTTTTGTTTTACGAAGCATTATTTATCATGTTTATCGAAAATAGATAATTTATTTATTCAAAGGGTCCTATATACGGATAAAGGAAATAACAAAGGAATTTTGTCGCGAAGACAACGTTCTCTAAAGAGTTTTAAAGCAATGGTGTAGTTTTAACTCTCCCATCTATTGTGCTGCCTCTTTCGATTGATTGCCATCGAACAAACATTGCTTTGCTTTTATTGAAATTTCATGTTCTTCAGTAGATTTACTTTTGCATTCAAATGCAACAAAGTTGCAAGGTAATCGATCAAATCTTGATATTTTAAACGTTTCGTTATGCAACACAAACATTTTCTCCAATCTATTTATCTTGTAACTGTAATATTTTAATTTCGTTCATTTATTCCAAAAATTCATTGAATTTACAATGAATTGATTTTTGTGGGATTTTTATAGAATTGAATTTATACCAAGTGAAATTTTCAATTAAGTGAATTTTTACTTCACTGAACTTTTATTCGAATTTTCAGCAAAATTCTAATTTTATTTAATCCAATTAATTATAATTAATTTGGATTAAATGGAAATTTTTCGTCTGTAAAAATGCAATTTTTCAAATTGAAGTGCTTGAAATTCCATTAGGAAGCAAACTGTCTCTCATGAGAAATTGTGAGGGAAATTGTTTTGATTTCGAGATCGTTGCCATTTTATATCAGAAGAGAATCGTGATCATCAGTCTCGTATAAACATCAGGTATCTTTAACGATAGGTGAGTCATTACCTCTTGGGAGAAAAGAAGAACAGATCTTCGTTGTTTAGAAAATGCAGTAGCTTCTCTTTAATATCAACGTGAAATCGAACGATGGTTTTATACGTACGCACAATCACAAATTCACTTTCGCGAAATGCATGGTGCACGATTATATTCGTCATGTATCACTTGATATAAGCTTCGTCTCTTTTCACATTCAATATTATACCTTGATACGCGATTAATGTCCAGATTTCTATGATTTTCTGTTGTGTACATTTTTTTTCACACTTCGAAAATAATTTCTTTGCACTTATCACTTTCTTGTTTCTTTTTTCCTTCTCTCTCTTTTTTGTCGTGTGGTGCTCAGATTGAAAGACAGCGATTGATTGGATGTACGATTTCAGTGATGCTTTGATAGGAAAGTAAATTTGTATTTTAATGAGAAAAGCTGTTTGAAATTGAAATTCTCTATGGATTGGAAATTTTTTTTTATTTGTATAAAGAAAATTCCCAAGTGAACGTGGAATAATTTTTAAAAATAAGTTCATATTCACGAAAAATTTCACAAAAATAATATTAAAAATATTTAAATTCTTAATGAAGAGTTTTAGGTATCAAAATTTTTGAAAATAATTGAATTTCTGCTCAGATTCTTATAATTAACATTTTCTTTTAAAGAATTGAATTCTTTCAAGAAATTTTATTAATTATAAAAATAGTTGAAATATTGTTAAGAATTTCACTAAAATTGTTTAAAAAATAAGTGAAATTCTTGTAAAGAATCTTACCAAAATTTTTCAAAATTATTGAATTTCTGCGAAGAAAAGAATTTTATTAAATTTTTAAAAATAATTAGATTCTATTGAGAAATTTTATTGAAATTGTATTGAAAATAATTAAATTAAAATAAGAATTTTTTTTTAATTTTTGAAAAGAATTGAATTTTCCAAGGAATTTAATTAAAATTATATTGAAAATATTTCAATTTTCATAAAGAATTTAATCAAAATTTTTCAAAATAATTGAATTTCATTTTATTATTTAAGAAAAGAATTTAATTCTCATAAATAATTTTATCAGAATTTTTCTAAGTAATTGAATGTCTGCGCAGATTGTTTTAATTAACATTTTCTTTAAAATTGAAATCTTGATAAGAATTTTATTAAAAATTTTAAAAAGAATTAAATTTTTTTAGGATTTTATTTTAAATTATATTGAAAACTACTGGTACTAACTACGGGTACTGTCGTACCCGTCTTCGACGGGTTTTAGTTTCTACCAATACATTTAACAGTGTGTCTATACCAATCTGGAAAATCAAGAAATAGCTCGGGAATTTAATTTGACCGGAAAAAAATAATAATTAGTTACCATTAGCTATTTCAGTAGGAAAATATTACTATTTGAATCAGTGATTGACTTTTTATTATCAAATTAGTTATTTTAACCGAATCAAATGCAGAGAACAATATTTGTCAATTTGTAGTACTTTAATTAATGTATTAAAAATTGATCAAATTTTCCACCAATTTTTTGGAGTTCCCGAGTCGAAATTTAAGCCCTACTTTCACCCTGAATTTTCAGGGTCTGTTGAGTGTTAGGAGTAGTAAAGAAGGGTCTAATTCTAATACAATTAGACCCTACTTTGACTCCCAAAACAGGCGGAAATTTGCCAATCTTCCATTTGGAGAAGCAAAGGAGGGTCTACTTCTAAGAAACCTATACCGTTCTTTTAAACCTCGTAGACCCTACTTTCATACTCCTAGACCCTACATTCTAAAAAAAAATTTTGAATTATTTTTTAATGCATTACTTGAAACACTGCAAATGCAAAAAGTACTTCAAATTGATAAATACTGATGTGTATATATAGCGTCTATATACACTTTGTGTATATAGACGCTATGAAACACATAAAATTCCACTTTTACTCATCCCAAGTGCTTCATTTGAATCTGAGCAAACCCAGGAGGAAAAGTCGGGCGAATGTCGGAGTTTACAACCGCCTGGGATCCTCGCCCGTGCGGACCGCCAGTACCGATGTTTTGTACCGATTCGGATCCCAAAATTCAACCGGCGTTGAACAGATTAGGCTCAGAATTTTGGATCCGCCTTTCTACTTTCGTCAGTACTGGCGTGGTACTGGATTTGTTCCGCCTGCGGATTTCATTCTTCTACGGGCGTCGGAAGAATGACGGATGTTAGGTCTGTACTGGCAGTTTAACTGCAAATTACACGTAAATATTAATATTATTTAGGTTAGTTAATAAAAAATTGAATAAATAAATACGTTTGATTTTAAATTCTCATTTTCGTATGGTAATATTATTTTCAAATAAGCGCGGTCTTTTTCACACCAGCAAGGAATCAGGGTTGCCACACACTATTTGTGGCACTATTTGGTTTACACCCTAAGGGAAAGATTTTTTTTTCTACGCTAGTTACTTGTTTAGCTCAGTTGGTTAGTTTCGTTTTTGTTAGGTCTTTCGCTTCATGCGCAAATCTCAGGTTGACTGTGGTTCGAATCTCCGTCCCTCCAAATTTATTTTCAGAATTAATCACGTCAACGGTGGGTTTATTAGGTAATTTTAATCCCTTACAAAAGCGGATCTCGCCATGTTATAGTTCACATTATCAGTATAATCATAAATTTCTTTTATTATATATATCATAGCTAATTAATTATTACAATAACTAATTGCATTTATTATAATAATATTATTATTATTATTATTTTTATTATTATTATTATTATTATTATTATTATTTAACCAATAAATGTGGACGTCCACATGAAAAGGGCCCATTTTGGCACTATTGGAGTTATCTATATGGGCGTATTCCTGGCAAAATTTGGAAAATTTTGAGTGGTCTTAGAACTTTTTTGGTTAAAAATTCGCTGAGTTACGAAATTTCAAAGTTTAGAACGCCACAAACCTCATTTCGAGAAAAACGGAATTAAAGATGGCGATACCAACTAATTGTTGTATCTTTGGTTCTTCTTGGAAGTTATTCAGATAAGAATTGTTTCCAGTTCAGGGCACCTTGAAGATAAAAAACCAACAGGTTTTAAATTTTTAAAATCATCCCCCCTCCCTCTTAAGTTCGAAAATACGAAAAATCGACAATATGGGCCCTTTTCTAAAAAGGACAGTTTTTCTATTAAAAATCCATTTTTTTACAAGATTAATGATTAGATACAATTTTATTGTGTCATTTGAAGAAAAAGAATAGATATTAAACTGATTTAAAATTTTTTGACAGTCTCTATTGTGAAAAAATTGACGCAATATCCAAATTTTCATTTCGACAATTACGAAAAAAAGACTCTAACATCAATATCTCTGGTTCTTCTGGGAAGTTATTCAGATAACAATTGTTTACAATCCAGGGTACCTAAAAGATCAAAAACCAATAGGTTTAAAATTTTTAAAACCATCCCCCCTCTTAATTTTGAAAATACGAAAAATCGACAATATGGGCCCTTTTCTAAAAAGGACAGTTTTTCTATTAAAAAACCATTTTTTTACAAGACTAATGATTGGGTATAATTTTATTCTGTCATTTGAAGGAAAAGAATAGATATTAAACTTATTTAAAATTTTTTGACAGTCTCTATTATGAAAAAATTGACGCAATATCCAAATTTTCATTTCGACAATTACGAAAAAAAAGACTCTAACATCAATATCTCTGGTTCTTCTAGGAAGTTATTCAGATTAGAATTGTTTACAGTCCAGGACACCTTAAAGATAAAAAATCAAGAAGTTTTAAATTTTTCCACACCTTCATTTTTAAAATACGGATTACTTTTGCAAATGACCGACAAAATGGGCCTTTTTCATTTTTCTGAAGAACCAATGAAATCAAACAGTTAAATTATCGATAGATTAATTAAAACCGCATGATTCGACTTGTCAAAACATGTAGATTAATAATAAAAAATAAAAAAAAAATTAAGATTTTGCTCCAAAATTACTAAATTGCGATTATCTCGAAAACTGGAACCGACAATATGGGCTCTTTTCATGTGGACGTCCACATATATTAACCCTTAGATGCATACATTTATTTATTCATTTAAATTTGACGAATCTCGGTACTCGGGGGGTTTGTCGGGTCGCTGATTACGAATCTGAGGTCATTTTAAAAAAATTCAAAATGGCGGATCCAATATGGCGGACATAAAAAATAAAAAGTCGTTCAATTGAACTAAAAACTCGGTACTCGGAGGATCTAGGGGTCGCTGATTACGAATCATTTTGAAAAAATTAGAAATGTCGGAACCAAAATCGCGGATACACTTATTCGTTCTTTGCGTTTCCAAGATTTTAAATCAAAAATTTTTCAATGCCATAGAAGGCTGAGTATCTCTGCCTTTCAGAAGAGAGAAAATGTTTTCTGGAATTTCATATATAAATAGTTAATATGTGCCACAGAAAACAGACTACAAACAAACAAAAAAGCAAAAAAATTAAGAAACGAAAAAAAGTTTTTAAGAAACAAGAAAAAGATAAAAAAAAATTGGCTCCGACATTTCAAATTTTTTCAAAATTATTCGTAATCAGCGACGCCAAGTACCTCCGAGTACCGAGTTTCAGTTCAATTGAACGACTTTTTATTTTTTATGTCCGCCATATTGGATCCGCCATTTTGAATTTTTCAAAATGACCTTAGATTCGTAATCAGCGACCCGAAAACCCCCCCGAGTAACGAGTTTCGTCAAATTTAAATGAATAAATAAATGTATGCATCTAAGGGTTAATATATAGTCATGTTTACTGTGATAGCGGCATATTCATCAAGCTTGTAAATGGAGCAAATATGGTCTTCGTCTTACTTAAATTTATAGCCATATCCGATTGAAAAATATTAAGCTGAACGAAAGTTATAGCTTTTTCACAAAAAATCAAATAAATCAATGAACGTGAGTTTGCAAACAATTTCTATATTGATATTTTTAGGTTTTAAGTTTGAAAATTTCATAGTATGTATTGTCATATTTAACGTAGAAAATAAAATATATATGTTCAATATAAAGGGTGCAGTAAAAGTATCAATAAAACTCAAATTTGACTTTAGCGGGCACTGCACAGGAAAAAAAAAGTCTGACTCCGTTTACACCTTAAATTCAGCCCATGTATTTCACATAAGTCTGTCCTTGTTTAACGGGGCTGACTCCGTTTACATCTTAAATTCAGCCTCAAAAATAGGCTGAAAGTAAAACTTTTTTTTTAGTGTGTGGAGCATGTAGAAAGTCCTTAAGACGCCATTAGAGCAAATTGGGATTTATGAATCAAAATTTTCTTATTTTTGAATTCTAGAAATGTTTTAGAAATGACTTTGAAAATAAATAACAAATTCCTATTTATGAATTAAAATTGTTCTTCTTGAATGAATGAAAGTGGATCCCATGTAGATTTCCTTGTGAGAATTGAAAACGTGTTACAGTTTCTACTAATACATTTAACAAAGTCTCTATTAACCGCGAAGGAAACCCGAGAAATAGCCGGGAATTTAATTCGACCAGGAAAAATCGGAAATTTTCTTATCTAATTAAAAAAGTTTTATTATATTATTAATTCGTTTGTAAAAAATTGCTCTTTGCTTTAATTTCTATTGATGTAATATTTTTATTTGTCATAATTTAAGACCTACTTTCAGCCTACAATATAGGTCTTATTTTAGATTTTAGCAGTCGTAACGTGGGGTCTACTTGCGATACAATATTAGTTCAAATTAGACTCTACATAACTTCAAAAGCTGGTGGAAAATTAGTATTAATTATTAATACATTAATTGAAATACTACAAACGCATAAAGTACTACAAATTGACAAATACTGTTCTGTAAATCTGAATTAGTTAAAAATAGTATTTGATAGAAAAAGTCCTTTACTGATTCAAATAGTAATATTTTGCTAATGAAATAGCTAATGGTAACTAATTATTAGTTTTTTCCGGTCAAATTAAATTCCTGATTGGTAGACACCTGTTCAAATATATTAGTAGAAACTAAAGACCGTCGAAGACGGGTACGACAGCTAGTACATATATACGTATACATACATTAAATTTTTTAAGAATATTTTTGGAATCACTGATGTCCATAATAACTAATCATGTTAACATTTTGAAGTTTTAAGCAATGTACAGACAGACATCTGATTTTATTAATAAGGATATTTCAATTTTCATAAAGAATTTAATCAAAATTTTTCAAAATAATTGAATTCTATGTATATTGTAGAGAATTAAATATATATTAGATTTATTTGTGATCTAAATAAACTTTGTTGGTATTAATTTATCAGTGAAATAATATTGCGAGTTGATAATTTTTGGGTCGTTGAATTTAAAACGATTTTTCAACAAAAAAAAAGGGTAAATATTGTTTTCTTTTCTGTACTACGTGTATATAATAAAAATATAAATATCATAGTTTGAAAGGCAATAACAAGACATGAAATATCGACGTTTGAATATAGTAATCGTAAAATTTTGATTTTTAAGGAACTCGTTAAAAGATCATACCGACAGGAAGAATTTATATTTCTTCTCAACAAGATACAGTAATTTTAGTTTTGTAACTTGTCAAGATGTTGAGAATGTTAGTTTTGCTCCTTTTCTTTATTTTTATTGTTATTTATTATCGTACTTATGTAGACGTTCAAAATACATAAAATCGATAAAAATTAAAGCAAAAAACTATCATTATCAACATTCCTTTGACAAATATAATAAACATATATATGCATTACAATCAAAAAGTTAATAATTTTCAAAAAAATTTACAATAAACGTAAAATAAATAAAACATAAAAGCATAAAATACATTTAACAATAAATTTACTCAAAAGAATTAATAAATTAATTACTAATTGCCAAAGATCAATAAATTAAACATTATCAATCCTAAAGATCAAATCGAAATATCAATTTCAAACCATCAATATAAAATCGAATACAAGAAATTAAAATTCAATAATAATTCGATATTAATTAGTGTTTAGCAATCATTAAAAAAATATCTAAATATAATAAATTTGTCACGATTGGAATATCAAAAAAGAATTAATTGTACACTGATTCAGAATCAGGACAAAAGGTGAAAGTCTTATAGAAAAAATATTCTAATTAAAATCAATATTATTCGCTTTAATTAACACCAATATTAATCTTTTCACTGCGCGCTAATATGCGAAATACTTTTACTCAATTAAGAAAATAATAATAATAATTTTCGAAAACACTTTTTCGTAGAAAAAAAATTACAAATATTATATTATGCACGTGTGACTATTTAAAAATGCAAATTTCCGGTTTTGTCATAGACGTGCGAAAGACGATGAAATGCAAATTTAAAATATCGTAAATGTCCTCTCTATGTCAACAGTTTAGGTAGGTCCATAAATATTCAAAACAAATCGTGAAAGACAGTGACAGTCGCGTAAAATGTAAAAATTAACGGCAATTACAGAAGTAGCAAACGGAGAAGCAAGAAGACTAGAGACAGGAGGTAAAACTTCGGTAGTGGGGGTATGGCAATGCTGAGTCGCTCAGCTGATGTATGGTCAGGCGTTTACTTTCAAAAAAAGTTTTCGCCGCAATAGACCAGACGGACTTGTGCGCAATTTAACACACGTAAACACGGGAAAATATATTCTATACAAATACAATATGAAATATAAGTGTTTATATTTTCAAACATCTTACAGTTATTAAAAAAACGTTTTAAAAACAAAAGAATGTGTAAACTGTAGCATGAAGTGTATTAAAAGTTAACAAAAAGTAATTGTCATAGTGTTGTGTTTATCTTTCTTCTTGTTACAACTTTTCACACAGCACGTTTTCGGAATTTTTAACTATTTGAATAACACTTAATTTAATAATCACTCACATTATTTCTATATATCCGTTATGACACACATTGTCAATTGTACGGAAGCGCCTACCCGCCACCTCGAGGCACTGAGGCATAAACTAGTGGTAAAGCAGTTTTAGCGAGGCATACACGCATATAGGCCTGTAGGCCTACTTGTACGGAAGCGCCTATACGCCACTGTAACCGAATCCCGTATGTGTGCATAAAGTAAGGTACAAATACAAGAATTGCGTGCGAGGGACCCCCTTAGGCTAGCTGAAATTCCCTAGAATAGAATTAATTGCGAGCGAGCCTACCCCTTAGGCTAGCTGAAATTCGTTAAAATTAAACGACTGTGTGAAAAGGAGGTTATGTTTTCTTTCCTGAAACATTAATTAAAATTAATTTTTTTAAACATTTCTTTTTCACAAATTGAAAAAAAGAAATCTTGTGAGGTAATAAGTTAAATTTATTTGGAAAAAAAGTAAAATAATTTTGAAGTTAAATTGATAATGTGTCTACAATTATTCTGATCCATTTTACAAAAAGAAAATTAGTTGTGTTATTTATGGGAAATTTTAAACATGAAATATTTATATTTTTTTAATATATACATACAAATATGTAAGTTAAAACAAAATCGAATTTTAAAAAACAGACCATTGTAGAAACTATTTAATAAGAGTTGAAAAATTATTAATAAATTAATTAAACATAACTTTTTTACAGAGCTAACAATTATCAATTTAACCTCAAAATTATTTTACTTTTTTCCAAATAAATTTAACTTATTACCTCACAAGATTTCTTTTTTTCAATTTGTGAAAAAGAAATGTTTAAAAAAATTAATTTTAATTAATGTTTCAGGAAAGAAAACATAACCTCCTTTTCACACAGTCGTTTAATTTTAACGAATTTTAGCTAGCCTAAGGGGTAGGCTCGCTCGCAATTAATTCTATTCTAGGGAATTTCAGCTAGCCTAAGGGGGTCCCTCGCACGCAATTCTTGTATTTGTACCTTACTTTATGCACACATACGCGATTCGGTTACAGTGGCGTATAGGCGCTTCCGTATACTTGCCTTTGTGCTTTGTTCATGTTTTGTTAGTGGACTGACAATTTTGACAAAGTTAAAATTATAAATATTCAATACTTTTCAAACAAAAATTTTAAATAGTTTTAACCTATTCGACACATTATAAGTGATATATGTAAAAAAATAAATATATTTTGTGAAATTTATTTGATTTCCTTTGCGACAAGGTAAGTTACATTATGCATAATTTTAAGGTTATGGTTGTGTTTGTTACATGTGATGAATTTTATTTATTATTGATTAAATTATTATTATTATTATTTTAATGTACTATGAAAAATTACATTTTCATTGAAAAAAGTGTATGTAGAATGTGGAATTTATTATTAAAATTTTCCAATATAACAATAACATGAAGTTGTGTTCTGTTGAGAAGTGAAACTTTTAATAGGAAAAAAATTTTAATTTGACCAAAAAATTTTTAAAATACATTTTGGAAATAGAGAAACTTAAAAGTAGGATAAATGCATCAATTGTCGAGGGCGTACCATTTGTCGAGTAAACAAATTAAATTTTTTTATATAAACATTGAATCACATAGAAAATGTAAATAATGATAAATATTATTATTATTATTATTATTAATAAAATTCATCACATGTAACAAACACAACCATAACCTTAAAATTATGCATAATGTAACTTACCTTGTCGCAAAGGAAATCAAATAAATTTCACAAAATATATTTATTTTTTTACATATATCACTTATAATGTGTCGAATAGGTTAAAACTATTTAAAATTTTTGTTTGAAAAGTATTGAATATTTATAATTTTAACTTTGTCAAAATTGTCAGTCCACTAACAAAACATGAACAAAGCACAAAGGCAAGTAGGCCTACAGGCCTATATGCGTGTATGCCTCGCTAAAACTGCTTTACCACTAGTTTATGCCTCAGTGCCTCGAGGTGGCGGGTAGGCGCTTCCGTACAATTGTGTCTCGATTGCACTGATTGCACTTTAAAGTTAACCTCAAATTAAAATCATATCATACACATATGTAAAACATATGGTATACAAGAATTTGAATGTGTGAGTAATATGCAGAAGCACCGCGCCGGCGACTTTTCGAAACGAAAAACGCCTGGTTAAAGAAAGGTTCTTGACTCATCCCCACTACCGAAGTTTCACCTCCTGTCTCTAGCCTTCTTGCGGAGAAGGTAAAAAGAAGGATCGATTTTTTAAATTCCTTTCACGGGGGACATTTTTTTTCTTTATTTTTTTTGACGAATATCCTGGGACACGCCTGCGGCTGCGATGAGAGTATTTCGAAACTTTCTAAAATCATCTTCTTGTTTGAGTAGAGACATATAAGATATTTTATTGTATGAGTTTTGGTCCACTACTCAACCATAGTGAGATGAGTGTCTGAGTTGCGGAGACTCGAAATGTGTCATTAATTTTCCGGAGTGGCATTTGTGAATCCAATACATGTATATATATATATATATAAAAGGCACAGGTGTAATGTATATAAGAAGAAATTCCAGCAGGTTCATCACTGCCTCCCGTCTGGGTTTCACTTTTAAAAAGTTATCGTCTACAATTCAAGAATATAATATTGTCACATTCACCTGACATACTTTTCACGCGCAGTTTTCGTCTCTGTTTTTTGTAAATTACGCACTTTTTTCATCGTAGTTTCCAATATTTTTTTTAAAAAGAATTTTAAGAATATTAATTTTTCAGGGTTGCCACAGATCAGGGAATTTAGGGAAAAGTCAGGAATTTTTATTAAAAGTACCAGAAAAAATTAATTTTTTAGAATTGATAAGAAAATTCTGAATTTCGGTGTCTTATTTGTTTGTCTCATATACTATGAAATCACCACGAATTTCTTATACAAAACCTTTAATTTTTTCTATTTCTGACAATCATTTCTTTTTACATAACTTAATTCTTGAAGAACTATTATAAAATTATTATTTAGAAATTATTTAATGAATAATTTTACTTAAATATTTCAAAATTAATTGAATTTTAAAAAGAGTTGCTTTTACAAATTTCATAAATAGATCAATTTCAATAGGTTTCAATTAAAATTTTATAACATTTCAATTTTGAATGAATTTAATTAGAAAATTTTAAAAAACTTAGATTTTTGAAAACATTTAATAACTCAAATTCTTCTGAAATTAGTTAAATTTTTTAATATATATTATTAATAAATTTCTTTATGAGAATTCAATTTTAAGAAACATTTAAGTATTCTATGAATTATTTATTTTTGTTTTTAAATAATTGAATTCTTGTAGAATTTTCTAATAAAAATTGATTTATAAATGAGTTTTAGTTAAAATTTTAGATAATAGTTGAATATTAAAAGCATTATAGCATGAATTTTTAGAAATAATGAATTTTGAAAAGGTTTTAAATTAAAATTTTTGAATTTTTCATATCTTTAACTAACAATTTCTGAATGAACAAAATTTCACGTAATATTGTATTGTAATAACCCAGGCAGAAAAGTTGGAGGTGTGCCAGCACTAACGACCGGCCTGGTACCGAACCGGTTGTAAAGTCGGACTTATGCCGGTACCGGCAAAAAGGTACCGGGCCGGATATGAAATAAATACCGGCGCAGTACCGGCCCGGCGGTAAATGTGGATTTGTACCGGTACTGGTAGTGTGTACCGGGCCGGTTGATAAAAAATATCTGGCCCAGCACCGGCCCGGTACTATAATTTACTTCTGTTTTTATACCGCCGAAGAAGATTTGCCGGTGATAATTTTTTTACCGGCCCAGCACCCGCCCAGCACAAAAATTTACTTAATACTTTCTACTGGCACAGAAGTTTTGCCGACAAAAATATTATTACTGGCCCAGTGTCGTCCCGGTTGTTTGCTAATGTTAAACTAGCAGAAAAAGAATTAAAGAAGAGGAAAAAAAATTCAAAAATTAATTTAATAATTAATTTAATAATTTAATTATTAATAATAAATTAATTAGTTAGTTATGCCGGCAATTATATTAATACCGAGTAGGTTGCTTATTGGTGCCGGCCCGGTATTTAACCGGTGAATAGGGCGGTTATTATTATTTATAATTATTATTTTTATTTATTTATTTTTAATGATTTAAATTGAATTAAAATAAATTAAAAAATACAAATACTGGCCCGGTACCGCACCGGTTGAATATTAGTGCCAGCCCGGTACTGCTGCCAGGTGGAATGTCGGTTGGACTTTATAAGCTCACTTTGCATTTACTTTCCATATGCAGGTTTAGGTTAGCGGATGTGGTGTCGACTTTGCAGCCTCAGGGTCCTGAGTTCAATTCCTCGAGTCTTCAGATTTTTCTATAATTGTTTATGTTTCTTTGTTTCAGCATTTAATATATTTACTGTTTCCAATTTAAAATTAATAATAACATTGATAATAATAATTAAACAATTAATCAGACTGAAATGTAATTTTTTTAACCGGCCCGGTACCACACCGGTTGTTTTTTAGTGCCGGCCCGGTACTGTGTCAGATATTCATCAGTGCCGGCCCGGTACGGTTGCCGGATACCTACCGAAGTTATCATCCGGCAATTTACCGGTACTGCGCCGGTGGAATGAACAGATTTATGCCGGTACTGGACCAGTACCTAGCCGGTTGTGCAGCCGGTAATAAACCGGCACTAAATGCCTTCCAACAATAACCGGGCCAGTACCGCCCCGGTGGACAATTCGGTACCGGCCCGGTACGTATGCCGGATACCTGCCGCAGTTATCATCCGGCAATTTGCCGGTACCGAGACGGTAAAAATTACGGTCTTATGCCGGTACCGCCCCGGCACTTATAATCCGCCGTTTGTACCGGGCCGGTACCATCCCGGTCGTCAAT